TTAGCCCAGTGCCGAGGGTTGTAATTGCGGTGACGCGGCCGAGAGAGCCGAGCAGAGCGCTTGAGACGCCAGGGGCCATGTCGTCTCCCGGGGAAGAGCAGAGGATGGAGGGGGCTGCCGTGCTCTGGAGCCGGGACGGCAGGTGCCAGCTTCCCTCCCGCTCTCAGCAGTGGGAAGCAAAGCCGTGACCCTTTCCAGAAGAGTGACGATGAAAGTGGGGGAGAGCTGGGACAGCAGTGAGGGATAGGGAATGGTTGGGGGCTTGGAGAACTGTATGTGAAAACCGGCTGCATCCTTCCCTGTCCCTGGCACAGCTAGGGAGTGATGCTGGCAGCGCTGGGATGCCCTGTACCTCAGCGTGGGGGAAACAGGACCCCCCAGAGACCCCCTCCCTGTGTCTGCCCAGTGAGGTGCCACCCCCCATGGCACAGGAAAAGCACTGTGGTGCAGGGATGCCAGGGGGCCAAGGTGTCTGTTCCTGCTGGGGACAGCTGTCCCCTCCCTGCTTAGCCCCACGAGCTGAGTGGAGGGAGCTGGGCAGGCGCATCTGTCCCAAGGTTCTGCCCTCTCCTGTGCCCCTGGCACTAATCTGTGCTGAAGCAGAGGAGTGGGCTGGTGTTTCTATGGGTATGACAGGGCAGAATGGGCGGCCCTGCCTGTCCTTGGGGATCCTGCAGATGGGGTGCCTCTCCCAGCCCAGAGAACTGGGGACAGGCTCAGGAGATGGGTGTGCTAGCATCCCTCAAACCCTACCCAGGCAGCACCCCAGCCTTGGTTCTGAGCCCCTCTGGGTGATTTCCCCATGGGGATGGGGCAGAGGGAAGCAGAGCAGGGCTCTCTCTCACCCGGCATGGTGTCCCGGCAGAGGCTGAGCTGTAGCATGCAGGCGGAGGAGGGCACGGACTGGCTGCTGGAGCTGCTCACAGAGCTGCAGCTGCAGCAGTACTTCCTGCGCATTCGGGACGAGCTCAACGTCACACGCCTCTCTCACTTTGAGTACGTCAAAAATGAGGATCTGGAGAAGATCGGCATGGGACGCCCCGGTGCGTACATCCCCCCCAAACCTCCCCCCTTATCCCCAGCTGGATGCACAGCATCTTTTGTGGAGCCCAGAGGAACATGTGATCCATGGGCTCCTACCCCACACTGGGTTGTGACAGTCATTGTGTCCCTGTGTCCTACAGGCCAGCGGCGGCTGTGGGAGGCAGTGAAGCGTAGGAAAGCCATGTGCAAGCGGAAATCCTGGATGAGCAAGGTAGGGGATGGGAGAGGGACAGGTGTGGCAGAGAAACTCAGGCAGGCAGGAGGAGCTGGACCTCTCCCCATACTCTTCCCAGGTGCCTGGCTCTGCCCATGCTGCCAGTCCCTGCCACCCATGCCCTGCCTGCAGTGTGACCCTGCCAGCGTGCGCCCCAGTCCCACACAGGCTCCTGGGTCACTTCCTAGTGAAGAACAGCCCTGCCACCCCAGCACTTGGAAACTTCATTCCGTTCATGTTACTTGCCTCTTTGCCAGGAAACTTGTTTGCAGCCAATGAACCACAGAGCCTGTGCATCTTGCCCTAGCCAATTCTGTGGGCAGCAGTGCTGTCCGGGACCCTGCCAGCCCTGCTGCCTCACAGTGAGGGGGCACAGCCTTGTGCCTGCAGTCTGGGGTACACGGGGGCAGGGGACCTTCGGATGTGCAGATATGCCTTGGTACCATCCCAGCCAAAGCTGGTGCTGCTGGCACCCTATGGCACCTGGCACCCCCAGAAGAGCAGAGCACTTGCCAGCTGGGCATTGGGTCATGGCCTCTCCCCTGCGTGACTCATCTGGGCTGGGACGTGGTCAGGATGGGCTTTTAATAGAAGGCTATGTCTGTTAAAGAAGAAATGGCAGAAATGCCACCTCCCACCCCAGCCACATGCTGGGCCCAGCCCCCACACACCCTGCATGGGTCCTGGCTTCTGAGGCTGAGATGGACCCCATCCTGTAGGGTATGTCATCGGTCCCGGCTGGGGGAGATGAGGAGAGAGCCCATCCCCATCCCCTCTGGGCCGTGGTGGTGGAAATGCACACTGCAAAGCCCACGTCCCTGCAGGGATGTGTCACCACACTCAGCCCAAGCTGGAGGTTTCCCTTGGCTTTGTGCCCCGGCACATTGTGCGACCACAGCCTGGCCAAGGAGTGCCCAGGGCCTTCTGGCTACTGCCCTGGTTTGCTGTGGCTTCTGGGGAGCTGCTGCAGATCTGCCATGAGGGGCACAACCCCTTCCCTCCACACAAATTGCAGCTTAGTGTTCAAGCAGCTGGAGAAGCAGAGCCTGCTCTGTGGCATCACCAGTTAGGGGTCATCACTAGGTATCAGTGTGTACAGCCCAGACAGGGGGTCGACCCAGCACTGCTCACTCGTAGACCCAAGGGCTTGGGATGTCTCCATGCTCATGTCTCACCTGCCTTTGTGTCTCACAGGTATTCAGTGGGAAGCGCCCAGAATCAGAGCTGCCACCCCAGCCCCAGAGTACCTTCCGCAAGCCCCCGACACCT